AACTCCCGGGAGCGTTGTTTTTGGCAGGGTTTGCCTTTAGTTGTTTAAAATAACCCAAAGCCATTATACGTGGGACATGAGTGTTTCCCCGCCTTTCTCCTGAGCAGATCTAGCTCTCTAGCGAGAGCTCACACGTGTTCTCAGCACGCGCCCCGGAGCTGGCCAACCAGGCGCAACAGAGGCTGATGTCTGTAGCAAGAGAAACATTCTGTGCAGGAAGCAGCACTGGCAGCCACTTCCCCACCAGAGTGACACAAGGCAAACCCGACCCTCAACCAATGGGCTCCCGCTGTCCGTGCTGCCGTTTTTGGTTTTTGGGTTTGTTTTTGTTTTTGTTTTTGTTTTTAATGAATTTAGGACAGGGTGTACAGGGTCTCACTACTCAGATTGGACTCATAGTGATCCTCCTGTTTTCAGACTTCCAAGAGCTGGGATTACAGGTGCACGCCACCACGCCCAGTCTCCATCGCCATCTCAGTGCACCCCGGGGGCAGGGCCGGCACGGCATGCTGGGAATCGAACCCTGGCCGCTGTGCTCTGCCAAAGCAGGCGCTTTAGTCCACTGAGCTTTCGGGCCAGCACTCCTGCTATAGTTATAATTTTCTATCATTACCAGATCCACCAGTCTGCCCAACACCTGCTTTGTAAAATCCACCTGCCTCTTAGGCAACAGCACAGATTTGGGGGAAACCACACAAGCTTTCCTTCGTGTTTGCAGGTGCAGCGCTAACTGTGGACGTGTACCCCAGGAGAACCAGGAACACCTACCCATCACCTGAGGGAGGCCACGGCAGGTAGCTGCTGCCCGGGCGCTGCTGGACACCTTGCTGCCTTCCTTTGCCGAGGTCTGACTTCCTGAGCGTCAGCGACACCTGGCAGTTTCCCGAAGCAACTTCACCCCAGCAGGCCCAGGCCAGCGGCTGAGCACGTGGGCCGTGCTGGCATCTCCTCAGTGTCTTGTCCAACACAGTCTTATTTTTTTATTTCAAACATTCCTCAAAGCTCGGAGTAATTTAAAACCAAAAGAGCCTTGACCACCACCATCAAAAAAAAAAAGACAATTTTGAAAGTTTAACTGATAACTTCACAGTCACTCATCCAGCTGATTCCCACGGAAATAAAAAGCATCCAGAAAATGTATTTAATAATTGATGCAACACTGAGCCATGTTAAATGTTTTCATTTCCAAGCAATGCAATGCCCACCAAAACATCAATTAGTCCCAGCAATTAGACAGGAATATTGGCTTCTGTTGAGGGATTCATTTATTTTAGCGCTGCTAAGTATCGAGGAAGGAGAAATCCGATGCGGCCTATCGCTCCAAGGAAGTGAAATGAAGTCAGAGTGGAAGCCAGATCCGGCCCTGGCTAACGGGGAACCTTTCCCCGAGCCCACCTCTGGCTCTCTGGAAATGGAAGGGACGCCACTGACGCTCAGCTCTTTCTGCAGTTAACAGAACGCAGCTTTCCCTCCCCACAGCTTTTTCCAACTCCAAACTGAAAACAAAGGGGACTAAGACAGAAGAGGGCACCTGCTGGGCAGACAGGCTGACTTAAGAACTCGAGAAATCCTTTTAAATAATGACTTTTCCTTTCGGTGCCTTTTAAATGTCAGGGCTCCAGGTTCCCACTGCCCTGGTTGAGCTCTGAGTCCTGGTGAGGGTCAGCCACAGTCGGAAGATTCTCTGTGTCTGTGTGGATTGACCCTGTTCAGGGTCTCGAAGGGTGGGACATCCACGCAGAGCACCACCAGGTCTGGGACATCAGAAGCAGCAGGAAGCAGCCAACCCAAAGCCCCCTGGAGATGGGTCCTCCTGAAAGCAGATGTAAGGGACACGTGAGGGCTCTGCAGCCCCAGAGCCTGGGGCCGTGCTCACCTCCTGGCTCTGTCTGTCTGTCTCTCCATCTCCCCAGCCTCCCAGGATGGCTCAGCTTTGCACCTCAACGTGTGCTTCTCTTACATGGAAATAATAGCTCCAGATGGGAAGAGAAGGGTGACGTTGAATGCAATGAGTGTGCGAATCAGCACGTATCAGGCCTGCTGTCAATGCAAGTGGAACCAGGCACGATGGGAGACTGAGGCAGGAAGACAGAAAGTTCCAGCCCAGCCTGGGGAACTTAGCAAGACTCTGTCTCAAAATGCAAAGTATCAGAAGGGCTGGGGTGCAGCTCAGTGCAAAAGTTTGGAGTTCATGCCACCACCAAAACACTAAACAAAAATGCAAGCGCCAGGCTGTCCCTTAGGACCTTCTGACCCAGAAAGTCTGCAATGAGGCCCGGAAAGTCGCACTTTTAAGTTCTACTTTCAGGTGACTGCGATGAGGAGCAAGCCTAGGAGATAGGAGGAAGAGTCTGGGGACAGATTCATCCACATCAGCGCTTGCTCAGGCCCAGGGCAGGTGTAGAGAAGGCCATCTAGGATCCTGCCCTCCTCACTTCCGGGCACTGCTGCTCAAGGGAAAACTGGCACCCATGCCTCTGCAGGGAATAGACGACGTCTGTCACAACTATAAATACACATGCCCTGAGCCAGCAATCCTGCTCAGAAGAGTTCGTCCTAGACACAGCAGAATGGGTGCAAAGTATTCAAGGCCACTGGCTGCAGCACAGTTTGCAACAGAAAATAAAAATAAAAATGCCCTTTTATATAGATTTAGTTAGATATTGCCATGGTGTAGTCATAAAACCAACATTTGCACAGCTCCTGCAGATGAGCAGCTCTCTGAGGTGTATTATTAGGTTAAAAAACAGTGCATGCAGAACAAGGTGTCTGGTGAGCCTTCGTGAGGGTGCAGAGATTTGATTTTGTACTTCGTGCATAGAATATCTCCCGCAAATACACAAGAAGCTGGTAGCACTGGTCGCTCTGCAGAAGCGAGCTGGGTGGCTGGGGAGAGGAGGCAGAGGGAGATTCCATCCCCTAAATTATCGGACCTTGTATGTCCTAACCATACACATTGTCTATTAGGATCCCAGTCACATAAAAACTGTAACCTCTACAAGCTATTCTTTAAAGTATGCATATCTTTTTCGATGCAAAGCCTTGCAAAATAATAATGCATCAAAGGGCGTGGCTCCACTCTGTGCACGCCACCTCTGGCCACCTGAGGCTGCAGAATCCCCCGAGTTCTCATCCCCAGTGGGAGGAGGAGAATGGAGAGGGACAATCGGGCCAGGGGCACGGAGGGCAGGTGCAAGCTCTGTTAAGCACTGTGTCCCCCTTCTTCTCTGGGAATCTGCATGTGCTGCTCCCCATACCTGCAATACAGTCCAGCTCCACTGCTAGCACCCCAAGCGAGATCTGGCCAGCTCCAGGTTGCCACGAGTGGGCCGCTCTCCCTCCAGCCCATCCACGGGTGTTTCAGGTGTGTTTCCTGGAGCCTGTGCTCCTCGGCCGTGTGCCTGCGTGGCCACCCAGATGTGTGTGTCTTCCCTCACTCCAGGACCACAGAGCTCAGTGAGGTGAGGCTGGATCCAAGAGGTCTCTTCAAGGTGGTGGTCATTAGAGACAGGAGTCCCCAGGGTGTGGGAGAGTATGTGGAGTGAGAAGGGGATAGGGAGCTGTGTCCCCAAGCAGAGTGCCACTCGGGGAGAGGGTCCCCCAGCAACATGCCCCCCCCAGCAGCCCTGTGTCACTGTTACCCTGCCCTGCTTACTCCCAGTCTCACTGCTTGCTTGCAATGCTGGGGACTGAATCTAGTGCTTCTGCAGGGAACCACATCCCCAAGCCTTTTTTTATCTTTTATTTTGAATCAAGGTCTCACTAAATTGCTAAACTGCCCAGGCTGGGCTCAAACTCTGATCTCTTTGGGGGTTTCATTGTTGCTGTTGTTGTTATTTGTTTGTGGTACTAGGGATTGAACTCAGGACTCAGCGCTTGCCAGGCCAGCACTTATTCCACTGAGCTATCTCCCCGGCCCATGATCTCTTTGCCTCATCCTCCCTGAGTGTTAAGTGACACACATGGGCCACCTCAAAGGGCTTCTGTCATATCTGTAACCAAATTCTCCATTTACCCTGAGGTCTCACCTGTTCTGCTCACCTCTGTATCCCCAACCCGACCTCAGATTTGGAATATACCATGTACTTACGTATCACAGTTTTTTTTTTTTTATGAGAGAGAGAGAGAGAGAGAGAGAGAGAGAGAGAGAGAGAGAGAGAGAGAGAGAGGTGTGTGTGGCCAGCTCAGCCCA